CAGTGTAACTGGCGTTCGGGATGGGCCGAAACGCCAAAAAAAAAACACGAAAAAAAAAGAAAAAAAAAAAAAAGAAAAGAAAAGAAAAGAAAAGAAAACCCTCCAAAAAACTTGAAAAAAGTCAATTTGAAGAGGGGCTGTACGGTCAAATCAGCTGAAATAATCTGCCAAAGGTTTTTCAAACTGCGCTTTTCTGGGAGGCATTGGGTTTTTCAACCCAGCAAAAATCTGTCTCCAGTTTCAAGACAAGGCAGTGAAAGGCATTCCACGATGCAGACCCCAAATTCGAATTTCAGGGTCAAGGTCTCAGGCCAAGGGAGGCCAAGTCGGTCAGTTTCAGAAAAGTCACAGTCGGGTGGGTACCTTAGGAGTCACAAGTCCAACAGGCACCCGGGGCAAGGTCCCACTTGTGCAAATTAGGAGTTTTCGGCCATTGATCTTTGCAATCTACGGTCAGTATCTCTTAATTCGTGCAAGTGGGACCTAGCCCCCGGTAAATAGTCATATCCCAAAGGCAAAAGTTGCATTCTGTAAGCAAAAGTCACGTCTCGTACTGAAAAGTCATACTGAAAGTTCCACAGGCAAAGGACACTTCTCCAGGCAAAAGTCGTGTCCCAGAGGCAAAAGAGTCACATCCCGCACTCAAAACAAGTCATATTCCATGAAGCAGCACACCAACTTGTCATATCCCGCACTCAAAAGAGTCACATCCTGCACTCAAAACAAGTCATATCCCAGATGAAAAAGTTGTGACTCACAGACCCAAGAAGCAGCACACCAACTTGAATGAAAATTCGGGAAAAAGTACACCAGGCCTTGACATTCTGAAGCAAGCAGGCCGTGGGCATTATGTGGTACCAGCCGGGCCCAAGTCAAGCCAAAGGAAGCAGAGGCTGGGACTAGTTGAGGCTCAGTCCAAGTCAATATAAGGACTGGCCAGCCACATTTCAGGGGAGATGGTGGCTCATTCGTGAGAAGTGTGGAAGTGCTGTTGAAGCGCTTGTGCACTATGTGTGAGTAGCATGCCCACGAGAGCCCTGCTGGGCAGCGCTGCACTGAGAGGGAAGGCGGCCATAGCCGCATAAGTTAGTTGTACGGATAGAGCTGAGTAGCAGCTGACGTATTCAGAGTCAAGCTTCTCTAGTAGAGAGAGAGAGAGAGAGAGAGAGAGAGAGAGAGAGAGAGAGAGAGAGAGAGAGAGAGAGAGAGAGAGAGAGAGAGACAGGGAGAGAGGAGAGTCACCTACCTTAGATGAGGGTGCCGGTGTTGGGTTGCTGAATTCTGCGCTGTTGAGCGCTTGGTGACTGACTGGATCTCCGAAACTGTTTAATGTGATAATTTGTTGGAATTTCTCAGCTGTGCATATCTGGACTTTGCATATCTGGACTTTGCATTTCTGGACTCCAGTGTGGATCCCGTGTAATCTCTCAATGTGTGTGTGTGCTCAAGGTGTCGAGCAGTGAGGCTCAATGCAGTAGCACGTTCGATGTCCACACCTAAGACGAGATACGTAAAAGCACCTCAATCTAGCTCCATATAGCTTAAAAAGGAGGAGCACCAAAAGATAATCAACACGCCACTGACAACATGCCACTCTGACAGACTGTCTGGACGCAACCACTGTCAAGCCGCTGAGGCTGACTAGGTATCATGTCCATCGCCATGGGTGAAGCCCTGCCGTCGGTGTTTGCAGCTCTCAAGCATAATAGCGCTAAGCTGGTTAGTACTGTGCCACCGTGGTGCTTTTATTGCTTTTGGTGTTTTTTCCAAGTCTTCTGAGAATGAGCTATATGCCATTTACTAAGTACTAAATTTACTAATTTTCCCCAATTTTTCCCTTTTCGAATTACTCTATTATTTTTTAAGATTGAAGAAATCTTTTATACGTCACTCCAAAACAACCCAGTGCCTTCTCTTCAACCCTTCATTATAGTGCAGGAGGCTAATGAGAGTCTGGAGGCTAATAAAAGAGAGTCAGTCAAGGACATGTAATGTAATTTGTCCTTGACTGACTTACTCTTATTAGCCTCCACACGGCCCTCCAGGCACAAAGTGCCGCAATTCGGACATGTCTGCCGAATCGCTGGACATGAAGCGGTGGCCAAAAGTGCTTTTAACTTCGTATGCAGAAAGCCTACTTAACATCTATTGGTAAGAGCATCCCCCGTAAGTCGGCCCCATCGTCGAGGGCTCCATCTATTGGTGGGGAGCTACACCTGCTGGAAACGGGTCCAGCGTCCCTATACAGAATTGTGTTGATATCACCTGCTACCTAAGTATGTTCATTAACCAATGTAAGTCAGATGATGGGAAAGCCCTGTCCATCCGATCTACGATTTCTCAAACACGAACTACTGCATCAAGTGTAATCCTATCTATCAGACCAGAATACAAAACCCTAACATTCAAGTGTAATCCTATCTATCAGACCAGAATACAAAACCCTAACATTCA